GTATGTGTGTGCGCGCGCGCGCGTGTGTGTGTGTTTGTGAGAGAGGGTCTAGAGTTGTGAGGGGGGGTTGTGAGGGGGGGTTGCTGTGGGTTGTGAGGGTGTGGGGTTGTGAGAGAGAGAGGGAGATGTGGGGCATCGTGCGCGCGTGTGTGCATGCGTGTGCACGTACGCACAATTCGCTGCGCTGCGTCGGACAAACGCCTACGCCCCAGGTCGAACCAGCGGTCCAGAAGACCGTGTTCGACAAGCGTCAGTTTGGCGTGAGCGTGACAGTCCACGACATCGCAGCAAAACAGCGGCGCATCGAGCGGCAGGTGCGGCCGCGGGGCTGCTGCGGGGAGGCGCGGCGCGGGCGCGATGCGTTACGAGGCCTGCCTCCCAGCCTCGCCGCGCCCCGAGCCGCCTGGCGCTTGCGGCGATGCGGGCGGATGGGCGAGCATGCGAGGGGCCGCGAGCGCAGCATGGCAGCCCCCCCCCTTGGGTTGTGGCACACTCGTCCTCCCACGTCTAGTTACTTGCGAGTTGTCCGCCCGAGCAACTTCCCAAGCCGTTCGCTTGGTCGCTCTGCCCTGCCACCTCCCCACTCCTCAGGACAAAGCCAAGGTGGAGAGTGTCAGCTTTGACCGCAACGCGGCAAACGTCTTCCAGTCATACGTGCAGGTAGGGGCACCACCATCCTGTTGGTCGGACTCTGAAGCTCCAGGGTTCAGGGCATAGGGCCAGAAAACGCTGCACACACGCAGGCCGTGCTGCACAGCTCTCGTGTGGTGGCGGGGCCGCCGGCGGGATCGTGTGGCGGGTGCTCGCCCTGTGAGGGCACTCCCAGGCGGATGGGCTGCCCGCATGCAGCGCCTTTTCCTGGGCCCCCGCCAGCTCAGCTGGATTCACGTTTTGATTTTAGGAATCTTGGGCCCGGCGCCGCGCTGACCAGTCAACCAAAACACCCCCTCCCCCCACCGCCGTCGCTGCCCCCCAACCCTGCAGTCCGCCCTGGCCTTTTCCATAAAGCGCGGCGGGATTCTGTACGGCACAGGTTGGGGTGGAGGCGGGTGCACTCACGCACACGCGGTCTGCGGCGCACTTTGCTGCACACACGCAGCTCGCACCAATCTGCGCACCCTCCAGTCACATACCCCTCCACCCATTGAGCTTGAGCCTCGGACCCGCAAACCCCAACCCCTGGACCTCTCAACGCTGCCCGCCACGTGCACTGCCGTGCCTGACCGTCTTTGTTGATCGGTGATCTTCGCATCCCTTCAAATATATATAACCCCAAACGCGTCTGCATTGAACAAGATGCCCCTCCCCCCGTGCTCCCATGACAAGGCCCTCGTCAATGTTTTGCACCAAGCATGACCCAATGACATGAAACCTCACCCCCCCCCCCCCCCCCCACACCCCCAAATCC